AATAGGTTAAATAACATTTCGCAATTAATTTTTTCCTGATCAATACCATAAACCATGAGCACACATCCCTGAAACAATCTTCTTACACAAAAATTACACACAAAAGAACTCAAGCAGTATGATATCGCAGTTTCCAATATGTCGACTTACTGATCCTCCAACAGGTGGAAAGTGCTGAGAATTGTCGAAATCGTCGTAACCTCCACGAGAAGCTAGTGGGGGGCGGCGACCACGCGGCGGGAAACTCCCTCTAGGAGGACCTCCATATCCATCATAACCGCGCCCGCTCTAAATTAATCCATCTAAAGTATTTTATCAAACACTGAAATAAACGCACAAATGATCCTCTGAATGCGTAGGGATCATCGTAGCCATTACGATTGCTGAAGTCGGGTCTTCCACCTGGATAGGGACCTGGGACTACCGGCGGTCCTAAACAACGATCAAGTATGAGTAGATCACAATAAACTACGCAAAAAACTCACCTCCCCCCGGAAGAAGAGTTTTTCGTTGCCTGTGTTCAGATCCCATTTGACCACCACCATCTACAAAATCTATATTTACTCAAAAGAAAGGTTATTTGAACAATAATTAGCTATAACACGGCATCCTGGAACAGATAATGAAACAAAGACGACACTGGCCCAAAAGAGATAAAGCAATTTGAAATAGCAATGCATGACGGACTATATGTCATCACACGAGGTAGACCTGATCTTAAAGTCTCTGTATGCAGAAATGATTTTTCGGAGTACATGTAAGAAAGCACAGCGCATGCCAATTATCAATAGCCGTAAAATTTTCAACTGTAAGTTGTTGCTCAATAGTTCGTTAGCAATTCTGCAGAACGAAAGTTCACCGACAAAGATAGTTGAGCACACTTCTTTTTAAGTCCTTTTCTAAAAATTCTTCAATTATAACTGTGGAATGTTGTTTGGTTCCATTTGCTTCCTCAGAATGAGTTACGAATGATCGAGTACAGCTTTTCAAATTTTACACAGCTACGGTGTTCTTAGCAATAATGGTTCAATGAGGGTCTTCATTGTTGCATCTTTGAATTTGAAATTAAACACATATAGTAGAGACAGAACACTATTATAATCCCTTATAAATATGGAAAAGAATCTAGAATGATGGAAAGCATACCACTAGGCAAGGTAAAATCAAACTGGTCGTTATCCTGTCGCGTTACTTTGACGTAGTCAGGCTGAAACTTTGTAGTTCACTGTAATCTTGCAACGAGTTTACCTATTGAGAAAGAGCTACGAAAAGACTACGAAACGATGACCTACTTTCGCAAACTCGACTTTCAGCGTACAGCATCCAGAATAGATGTCCGCACCATTTATAGCATGTTTAACTTTCTTAGCAATTTCAGCGTTTTCAAATTCCACCAGTGCTTGCATCAACGACTTTCGGACAATGGCAATCCTCAGTACCTTTCCATGTGGCTCACAGATTTGATGAATAACCTGGCAAATACAATATCTCCCGATACCTTGTATTGCGGCTTAATAAAAAATCGCTCACATGAACATCAATCGGATACTGAGCATTATACACAGTGATTACCAAGACCTTACAAGGGTTTTCCGATTCAAAACCAAGGCGTTGAATATTTTGAGAAGTCGAGTAGTTGAATAGGGCAGCATCACCAGCAACAAATATCAGATTTGACGCAGCAAATGTGACGCAGGCTCTGGCAGCTGCAAATTTTAGGAATAATGAATGTGTGATCTTGAACTACCATTTTAGTTTTACTCCATCTAACATGAATAGAAATAATCAAAAGCTCCTTTGTCGCTTTCCTCAGAAAAAGTACTCTGTTTTACAAGTGCTTAGAGAAAGAGAGCCAGTAATCAAGTGTTGCATCGATTTTCACCGCTGCATTGATAGCAATTGCATATGCAAATTAGGTTTTTTT